GATTGTATTAATGTCGGCCGCGTTACCCCAAAGCAGAATGCCATAAGACATTATACTGTGAAAATAACTAAAATATACCAAGCGAGCCGTATCAACATCAGTTAACTGTCTTATTTTTTTGACCGCGAAAGCTGCTGAGCTAAGTCTACTCGCCAGTCTATTAATATGGGGGCCCCATTGCAGTTTGGCATCAATAGTTATGCCAAGGAATACAGTTGAGTCAATAGGGTCCAACGCTTCCCCATATAAAAGTAAAGTAATACCATAAAGTTTAAGTGTTAGTGGAGGGGTTTAGGGAAGGCGAAAAGAGTGAGTGACTATGGTAAAATGTCACTTGAAATGTAAACATCTCTTTGCTGTGCATCACCACATAGTATAAAACAAGGTCCTCCCGCTGTCTGTCTGTCCCTATGTATGCTTAGATCTTTAAAACTACGCAGCGGATCTTGATGCGGTTTTTTACTAAATAGAGTGATTCAAGAGGAAGGTTTATATGTATAATACAATGCACTCGTGCGAAGCCAGGGCGGATCGCTAGTTAAATATCTATGTCGAAACGTTAGTTTTAATTAATCCACTCACGCAAAGCATTATTATTACATGTTGCGTTATGCCAATAACAAAGAGTGTTACACAAATGTTCATACGAACTGATGGCGTTGTCATTAGGAATTCATAAAACCGCGCAACCGCCATTTTGTATTCTTCGTACGGCCCGATGTTTATGAATATGTCGCGATGAGTTATGCAACGGTTTATTTGACGGTTTTATTAGCTATATTTTTAATGTGAGAATGTGGCAAGCTAACTGGTGGGTCACCTGATGTTAAGATACTCCGCCGTGGAAATCTGCAACAACCGTAGGGTTGCAGATGCGTTGCCAACTTTTAATAAAGTGGACCCTGGTTACCTTACCTCAAGCGATCAGGCTGTTCACCACGATAAGGCGATTATAGCCGCCTCTGGACCTCTGCAACATCTCAGTGGTTGTAGATGCGTTGCCTAACCTTTAAATAAAGTGTACTCCCATTACCTCACTCATTAGACGAAACGCAAAAGTATAACACTTCCGCCGCTTCACGCCGGTCTTTGGTAAGGTCTTGGTACTTCCGACGCGCCTGCCCATTCTTGCAACAGCAAAGACTGCTGATTGGCCTTACCACAGTCGAGCTGCACATATGGGGTACATGCACGTCATCAGATACGGAACATTTGTCTGTGGATCGCACAAATACTTGTATCGTTTAGCAATCAAACCCAGAGGCGGATTAAACACTGAGAGCAGTAAAGTACGCATGGCATGTAAACCCCAAAATCATGAAGCTCCCTATATAATAATTTCTGGCTTTTCACGCCAGTCGAGCTATTTATAGACTAAAGTAAATCGGACCCATCGCAAGACCCGTAGGGGACATGCCATAATTAACGCACGCATGAGGTGGCCGTAGCCACTTTTTGATTAAGTGGGAATAATCCTTTTTGGATCCTCCGCCGGTTTGTGGATAGGCAGCAGTGATATGTGGGAGTTACGGGGTACCCACTAAAAACCCAAGTTGCACCTGCGCTGTCGCTTTGCCGGGGACACGGGAACACGAAGACGCAATCTTCCGCTCATCCCGGCGCGACTGTGGCCTTCTCAGGCCTCCTCTCTTCGGGTGTTTAGACACCCAGTCCAGCCAAATGGTGCCGTGTCGCTGCAATAAACACAGCACCCCTCCACAAGCCTCCGCCTCGGCAAGCCCTCCACGGGGCAGCAGTTAGCAGGGGAAGGTTGCGCGCGTAGGCCAGCCTCCTGCACCCTGGTCTCCGGCGGCGGGCAAGAACAGCGGCCCGGCGAAAATTAGCGCCATGGGCGGTGACAAGGGTGTCGTCAACATAACACGTTACCTCGACACCCTTGAGGTAGGCGCCACGTAGCACCCAATCATACCCTACGTTCCACAAGAGTGGCCCTAGCACCGACCCTTTGGAATTCCACACGTCAACTCTGTTGTCCAGTGGCAGTCTCGGCAGTCCAGCGACTGTGGTAGGCGGAGGCACCACACTCAACGGTGGGAAAAATTTTTGTCCTTAATTTTTATTATGTTTATTATTTTTATCAAACATTACCCTTGCACGACAATATAATCCTGTGCTGCAAGGACGTTTCACATTCATAAATGGCAAGCCAACACCTGGCAACTGCGCCATGGAGTCGTCAAAGACGCTCCCGCATCTGGTGTTACCAGTGTCCATTGGTTTGTCCTCTTCTATGATGAATTAGACCGATTGCGAAGTTCGCGAAAAATCAGACACTTGAATGCATTGATATGGTTGTATTACTAGGCGATTCGGCCGTCGAATCGCCAGTGTAGCGATGGTATCGGTAAATATTCGGGCTCCAAATCAATTCCTTACCGTGCAGGCATTTAAAATATTCTGCGTGCACGCACCGCGCCGTCGCATCTTGATGTGTCGCTTTCACCTGAGACACGTTAAGAAGTATTGATGTTATGACTTGATTAAGTGACTAAATAGAAGTAGATAAGATAAGTAGTTTAACAATAATCGATGATTTTATAAAAAGTTATAGTCAATTAGGTATTACATTGTGAACGGTACTAAACAGAAACATCGCATTGTGGAAGTTTCGAAATACCCATGAAAAATTCCAAGTGATTTGATTGTCCCTAAGTGGGTGAAAATTGTATTGAATGTTTCTATTAAGGCCCATTTACACGATGCTTATTTTCTGGTACATACAAGAGCAATAATTGAATGCAATAAATTGCGCGCAATAATTGTTTAGACCATTTGTTGTTTAGACCATGCAACTTATTTATTGCTTCAATTTAATTGTATACAACAGGCAAGAAACTGGCACCGTGTAAATGGGCCTTTAGAAACATATCATACAATTAAATGAAACAAATTTACGGATTTTATCGCGTTTCATTTTTAAATGACAAAATAATTGACGGTAGCCCGGGTTAACATTGACATCAAGACGTGAAACGACTCAGTCTGTCCCGGGACTAAAACGCTGGAAAGGGTCCGAAAGGTCGGGAATTAAAAATCAAAATAAAACGAGATAAAATCCGAAAATTAGCTTCATTTAATAGGTATAGTATTCGCGTAAAATAAAGAAATCAATATGTCATACATTCTCGTACACGGATACGGCTAACGTATCGTATAGAACTATATTTAGATCTTTTAACTTCATTTAAGAACACAAAACCATAACAAGATAAGTTGATAATAAAAAACCATAGTAAATAAAAGCGATAATTTTCTTTTAAATGTGATTAGATGGTAAGCTAACTAGATATTCGACAACACCTTATCAACTGCGCCACAGAGTCATCAAATGTCATTATCCCTTAAATCTCGGGCTTATAAAATACTAGCTGCTGCCCGCGACTACGTCTGCGTAAAATAGGCTGACAGCATAACATTCAGACAGAAAGACAGATATACATAAAATATGTATATAAATTACAGCCTATATCTTATTCTGATGTATAAGCTATATTATTGTAAAGTTTCATTAAGATCCATTCAGTAGTATTTGCGTGGAAGATTAACAAACATCCATCCATACATACAAACTTTCGCCTTTATAATATTAGTAAGGATGGCCCGAGATTGAAGGGCTAATGACTATGGGCCAAGGTATCCATATTATTATATTAAGGTATGCCCGTCGTAAGAGGTGACTGAAAGAGGACACACGGTTCGTCGACGATCGGGTGGGACATCCATTCCTCTCCTAACGCGCCGAAAGTGGGCATGAACGCCTCACAACCCTTTTCTACACCGAAGAGACAAAAACCTTCGAAGATTACCCCAAAAAACCAAAAAGGGATATACAGTGTCAAAGAACACGAACTTACCACCCTTTCAAGGCAGTCGAATCAGAAGATTCTTGAGTCGTGTTGTGTTCACCACACTCCTAGGTACCCCTTCGTCATTGCCACACGTTCGGGTGTAATGACATATCGTTCCTTCATAACGGATTACGTCGCCAATGACTTCCGCGGTGACGATGGTCTCGCAAAAAGCTGATGACAGTTATGCAGTGGAAGGATTATAAGATGGACGGCTACTTGTGAGACTGACGGTTTGATATCGCGTTAACAAAGTGGTGCTTCTAGATTATGTGTCGTTGTCACTTTGATTTCTGTATATGACACGTCCCGCTATCTCCCAGTACTAATTGGCTCAGGCAAACATCATGAACCCGTTCTATGGCCTGTTATTAATAATAGATATTTGTTATAAATAATAGATATTTGTTATTAACAACGACCCAGAATTGCGACTCTCATTTTAGTTCATTATTATTTTTTATTTAAATTAGTGTTCTGTATTTTTACTTATAATTCAAGAATATTTTCTGTATATTTTATACTTTTTGTGTTAAATGTATTTCCGTTTTTTTGTTTTGTATTGAGGTTATTAAATGGTTATCGTTATTATATTTATATACGGTTGTAAGGACGTTTTGTAAAGAAATTTTTAGTGACTTTTATACTTATAGCGTCAGCACCCTTATTCCTCATTTTGGTATGTGGTAATTATGAGAATGATGACTGAATTTATTACGATATCAAAGAAGAAATCCGTTTTTATACGTCCTGGTCGCGTCTTCTACAAACCTCTGACAAATATCTAATCCCCAATGATATTATATACAAATACGAGGTAGATATGACACCAGCGCACCGAAACTGAGGCACTCAAATTACGCCAATTGGTGTAGTTACACTGCAATTCTATAGACTGCTATCATATCAATCATACGTTCTACATCATCTGGCACATTCACTTATATATGTCAGATAATGTAATTCGGAAGAATTTCTAAACGCTGCGCAATACCGACATGTGTCATCTTTATTAAAACATCATTGCGTATCTCCGCCAAACCTAACATTAACCCCGATCTCTCCGATTGTTATTCCAAATATTGAATGGAGCACTAAATCCAATCGATTTAACCATGTATTCCTTTCCAGGGTTCGGACCCTCGTGTCGCCACGTGCAGGGGCCGCCTGCAGACGCGGCGATGCCAGCTCAACCAGGAGATCAACAAGGAGTTGCGGCTCAGAGCTGGCGCGGAGAACCTGTTCAAGGTAACCACAGCACACCCATAGACCATACAATAGAGCGGTGAAGGAAACCGTCGTGAGGAAACCTGCATATTTTATAAATAATAACAAATAAATATTTCGAAGATATGTGAGGGCCGCAGTGGGGTCGCGTGGTGAACTATGCCCTGATGCCGTCTGTACAAAGGTCTTTGCCCAGCAGTGAGAAATATATATAGAGAAAATCCTTATTGTTGGACTTACTGGGTTCTTACTTTACAACAAGTTGTGAATTTGAGGGAGGTATAGGTTCTTTTGACAGCAATGGCGTATACTATCTCATTTAGCTAAAAGCGCCTCCTGCGTATCGGACCTATATCGCAATGAGTTTTACGAACATGGAACCTATTGATATTAATTTAAAATTATGAGCCGTATTAAAACACAATACGACGCGAAATTAGATGGCAAGATGACCACTAGTACATTGCACCATAATACACACTCACCACTTGGTTCTTAATCCCCAATAAATCGTATATTAAAAATCCAACTGTCTTCGCAGCCACAGTCTGCTGACACAGAACACTACATTAGGCATTAAATCGTAAAAAAAAAGTTATGTGATGGTGTGATGGATTGCTACCTTTTAATAGAGTGAACCCCGATTATCTCACTCACCATTCGAAGGTAGGAACACTTCTACTTCACGCTGATCTTCTATGCGGCGACGGTACTTCCCCAGACGGACCTGCCCATTCGTGCAAAGAAACGCACAGGAGACTAAACAATCCTATAATGCTGGCATCGTACTTGCTCCTCCGCTTTTACGGTGTTTATGATTCCTTCCATTCATCATTATCATTTCCGTTTAAGTCTATTGCTGGAGATAGGTCTTATAATCGACATTACTATGTCGCTGATTAAAGATTTATGCATTTCAGTTCATAAATGGGTTTACAAATATTTACAATTGTGACTCCATTTCTAAAAGATTCGCCAACATCACAATGTATAACTCGCATAGTTCTTGACACAATATTTTATATACATCTTGTACAATAGGCAGCATTTTTAAAGAACGAAAGAAAAAATGTACATTATTAAATATTCGAGTAAAAGTCAATCAAACACAAGAAACACATCATTTACACAAAATGATCAAAGGAACATTATATAAACATCCGTTATAATTTTTTCAAACGGTAAAATTTAAAACGAAGTATTCTAAAAAGTATTTGATAAACTGACACTCCAAATAATGTGAATCATTCAATGACTAACACCAAATTCCTTTTAACGCATAACATTGATGTTCTTCGCAATAACGTCCTTATATTCAAATCGAATCGCTTTCACCGAATCGCCAATGGACGACTATGACCCGCGGCGAATTAACCACAGAGTATAAAAATTCTTCTACAACGAAATCTATATAATCTTTTTCTGAAGTAAAGGAATAGGCACAGTACGCAATTTTGGATGGGAAACTCGTCATCGAAATGCCAATGTCACGTGTTTCTTAAACTTTTAATTTAATTTAGACTTAAGATTTTAATTTAATTTGGTTTTCTAATATTTGATCTCTGTAAAACAAATTTCTAGTTGTCCTATAGCATTTTATTCGCGCATTTTAAAATTTAAATTATGTAAAGTTTCATAAAAAAAATATTGTTTAACAACAGTTATCGTTTTCACTATAATAAAATCAACATGTTGAGTCTTAAGAATATTGTTACGTAAATACAGTAACAAGTTAATCGAATATTTCGTATAAAAAGTATATAGTTATTATAATTGTATATTTTTACCGTTATCAAACCATACTAATATAAATTAAACATGTAATCAAAATATATATTCATTTATACAAAAAATTATCGCCGTTCCTAAGATTAGATTTTGCGCTTCATGGGTTGCGTACCTAGACGCTCTAGCCACTAAACTACGCGGTCAATATTCTCGCCGCGCGAAAATCTTTAGGTCTTATCTACTTTGTTTTTACTGTATTTTTAGCAACGCTTGGCACCATCTAGTGTGATTATTTATTACTATTAAAATAAATTCGTTTTATATTGTGATGTGAATAAAATTAAAGTTAAGGTATTTCAGGTCTTTTTAACAATTTTTCATTTCAAAATAACAAACGGTTGGCTCAGTCATCTCATCACTAGTTGCAAACATCTAGAGAGACAGACTGTAAAAAGATATTTTATTTTTTCTTAAATCTACGATATTAGCAGTAGTATGAGTTATAAGCATTTTTAGGGTTCCGTACCCAAAAGGTAAAACGGGACCTTATTACTAAGATTCCACAGTCTGTCTATCCGTCTGACACCATGCTATATCTCATGATCCGTTATAGTTAGACAGTTGAAATTTTCACAGATGATGTATTTCAGTTGCCGCTATAACAACAAATGCTAAAAAACAGAATAAAAAAATATTTAAGTAGGGCTCCCATACAACAGACATGATTTTTTTAGCGTTTTTATAGATAATGGTACGGAACCCTTCGTGCGGGAGTTCGACTCGCACTGGGCCGGTTTTTGTAATTTTTAGATGTATCAATGACTTGATACATTCTTCTCTACTTAGTTTTCGTCGCGAGTCGTGAGACGTGGGGTCGATGTCCACACAAAAAATGCTGTTGTACCAATAGATAATTGTTTTAGATCCGAGTGTGTGCAATTTGTGCATGTATTATTATGAAATAGGATTATTTAGTATTCAGTAGGGTACTATTTTTCAAATAATGACAGTCGCTAAAAGCTTTACTTGTAGTATATAATTCGTTATATTACAATTATCCTTGTAAACCTGTGCTCCAATAAAAACTTAAAAAACTAAGCCACTGGCGGGAAATCTAACCATTAGCTAAATTTAAAAATAAAATCTCACTGCACTCTTCAAGGTCAAAGTTCGAAAAACGAAGACGCCGCGGCTTGTCACGGATCGCGGCGTGCGTAACTTTTTTTTTCGTCGACTTCCATTGTACATATAAAGTCAATGCACTCGAACCAATGAGTCTTTGTTTTGACCGGAAGTCATTCAAGTCGAAGACGATAGTTACAGATAAAAAAACGGCGGCGAAACCATCAAACCACCGGAAAAAAAATAGATACAATTTCTTAGTATCGATATTCTATGTATATTACACTACACAGTAATGAATAACACAAGATCAATTTAACCGCATTAAAGCAAATAAATAAATACAATAATCTCTACTACTTCCTGTATTATATTTTTTGGTTAATAGTCCTTTTTATGCAATAACAGACTAACGGATCGACATTGTTTTAACGAAAATTATAAGGATAGGAGAAAGAAGCATATCATGGTCATAACATAAAGGTTTCACAAGGTTCTTTTCTCACAGCTGTACTTAGAAATTTTGGTAAAATCTGCTATAACCAGTAGTTTTAGTCTCCTTAAATGTTAAATATGTTATTTAAAACACAACTCAATATAGGAGCGGTCAAACCCATAGATTTAGATGCTAAGTCTATGGTCAAACCTTAAAAAGTTCAAGGAACTCGGTGATTTAAATTTTTACGATGCATTGTTTTATGAAAGACGAAACGCACGCGGAAACAATTCCATGTCCCAAACGGTTTAACCAACGTGAAAATTACGGACAAAAACACACACAGACTCAAGCGAACTATCGCTAACACAGAGATTTGCGTAGTGCAAATGAGGAACCAACGTTTCCTTCGTTACCACACCTCGGAACCACATGAGGAATTACAAATTCATCCTCACATTAAAGTAAAAGTAACAGCCTATACATGTCCCACTGCTGGGCAAAGGTCTCCTCTATACAGAGGGTATCAGGGCATAGTCCACCACGCGGCCCCACTGCGGATTGGCGGACTTCACATATCTTCGAAATATACTCTGAACTCTTAGAATCGGACCGCTGAAGTCGATTAAATGCAAGCTAAAAGGTTACAAGATCATCGGACTGTAAGCACTTCTAACAACAGCAGAAGGTCTTGAAGTAAGACTTTCTTTTTTACCCTCTCACACGTTTCGTAGTAGACTTGTCGCTAAAGCAGGCTAAATGCAAGCTAAAATCTTTACAAGATCAAATGTCTTTATTCAACATAAGAGTATTACACTCGATTATTGATAGTCAAAATACTACCACCGGTTCGGAAAAGAAAGCCACTGTACTGAGAAGAACCGGCGAAAGAAACTCAGCGGGCTTTTTTTATTTTGTTTAAATAACCAGTTTGACACGAATACATTACAAATACAATATAAGAACTCTGATTGAAAGAGCCTGGACTCATCTGGATCATTGGACTGAATACACTAATAACAACACAATATTGTCAAAAGACAACAGCAGAATGTCGCATTGTAATACTTATCTTTTCTCTCCTCTCACACGTTTCGTAGTAAAGGACTCTTAGACTAGGGTTCCTAAAGCAGATTAAATACAAGCCAAAAGCTTACAAGATCAACATGAGCATATCTGAAGCAGAAGGTCGTAGTGTATGTGACTCTCTTCTCCCCTCTCACACGTTCCCTTCTCCGCAGGCCACGACGAACAGGAAGCTCCGCGAGACCGTCGCGCTGGAGCTGAGCTTCGTCAACTCCAACCTGCAGCTGCTGAAGGAGCAGCTCGCTGAGCTCAACTCCTCGGTGGAGCTGTACCAGAGCGACAGGTAAATTGGCACCAGACCACTCACCAACTTTTTTTATTTGGCAAAGTGGCAAACGAGCTAGCGGTTCACCTGATGCTAAGCGATAACCTCCTTTTTTTTTCGTGGGAAAAATCCTTTATGGATCCCCTGCCACTGGATCGGGGGAGTGGCAGGGGTATGTGGGAGTTCCAGCGAGAAACGGGTACCCACTAAAAAACCCACGTTGCACCTGTCTCTATCGCATCGGCCGCGGACACGGGAGCACGAAAACGCAATCTTCCGCGAACCCCGGCGCGACTGGCTTTCTCAGGCCTCCTCTGCCCGGGTGCTTAGACACCCGATCCAGCCAAATGGTGCCGTGTCGGTGCAATGAGCACGGCACCCCTCTCAAGCCCTCCGCGGAGCAGCAGTTAGTCCCACTGCTGCTCCGGGGCTTGCTATCAGGGGGTAAGGTTGCGTGCGTAGGTCAGCGATTATGTTCTCACAAAATGCAAGGACAGCACCCCACGCCCTCTCGCTGTCACCCATAGCACGAACCACGGCAGTCAGCGAGAGGTGGTGTCCCACGATAGCGCACAACTCTCGGCGCTGCTCCGCCCAGGCTGGGCTCTCTTCCAGCGCGTGTTGGGCCGTCTCCTCGGCACATACGTCGCAGTGGTCTCTTAGTCAGCCTTGACCCAACGTCCGAAAAGTTAAGGCATTGATAAGAAAATTCGAAAAAAGTGATACTGAAATTTTGAGCACTTTTATAACATACGTTAAATACTAGTTATGTCTAATAAAAAGTGGTGTGAAATAAATAAGTTATATCTATAATTACTGACAAGTAATAAAATGAACATACAAACATATGCATAAATTTACACATAAAAATGTGGGTATATATAGACAGCTATCTGTCAAAGATCAAGTGAATCTTCTAAACTTCTAACGAATCTTTCGACTATGTACAATTTATCCCTCTAAGTGCGGTCATATTACACAATGAATACAAAATCGTAAAAATGTAAATAAACGCAAAACATAATAATAAGAAACAATTACAAAACACGCTGATCATATGTAGACGCATCTACAACTGCAACACTATGTTCTATCGATTTGTATTAAGTGTATACGTAGTTCTATCTCTCCCCCACTCATTCTACATAACATTTTCTTATCATTCTTCTCCTCGGTGTAATAATCCGCATTTAAGATGGTAACTCCGTACCAGAAAGCGCCAGTGTGCACTGCGTGCCATTCACAAACTCCCTGACCACTCTGTTGCAACACGAATTCTTTTAATAAAAGGTTATACTTCTTTTGCGTGCTTGGATAAAAAATTGAGAGTAAAATGTTCACGATGCTCGCGCGCACCGATGGCCAAAAAACGACATTATGAAGTTTATTTATTTATTTATTTATTTGTAAGTTGGCTCCAAAGCGAACACCTTCGACCAACCTCACGGTATCACCATGGCAACCAATAACAACTTTTTGCCATTTAAAATTTCAAGTTATTTCATTAAACTTTTGGTAATTCACCACAACAATTGACACACCAGGACAATTGCATTGAATGTATTTCACAAACAAAGAGTACTGGCACAGAGGATAAAGTTTTTAGTTGTATTTCTTTTCTTACGCCAAAGAAGTAAACTTCTTACGTGCCTACATCCTTTTTTTTCAGCTACCGCTCCAGGTCAGCTGGTATCTCATCAATACAAACTCCTTCGTTTTGCCAAGCAAAAAGTCTCCTCCCAATACAGTAACACTGGTCCCGTTATATTCTGAGAAGCGCTGTCCATCTAATTTCTAATAATGACAACCTATCCGAAGCGCTAACGGCTCTCGCGTCCACCGACATAATGTAATTATATCATTACCACGTCGTTCACTATAGTATATATAATTATTTTTGATACTCACCATTGAACCAGATGCGATGCTGGCATCATACGTACTTTGCGTTTTTTATGTGAAAAGTTGTCAAGCGAGCAGGCTTTTCACCTAATGCTAAGTGATTACCGCCGCCCATTGATAGCAAAACCGGAGAGTTGTAAATGCGTTGGCAACCTTTCAAAATGACCCCGGCTACCTCACTCTCCAGACGAAACGCGAAAGCATAAGTAGTACTCCCAATTCACACCGGTATTCTGTGAGGCCGTGCTACTTGACCAAACCAAACCAAACGGGACGAACATGCATATTCGAGCACAGTTATATTATTATATGATATTAAAATATCGCGCAATTCCCTACAGTCTTCTATTCCGGCTGTTCCTCCCGGAATATGACTGCAACAATTCTCGAGGTGTGAGGTGACCAGCGTAACTTTTAAAAGGGTTGGCAGCACTACAAAGGGTTGACAACTTCAGCCCTACGCGAGTTTTTGGATATCCATGGGCATCGAGTTATGGCTTTGAAAAGAAATATTAGCCTTAATAATAGTCTCTCTAGTAATGATAAAAGAGGCTTTATTAGATTAAAAACGGACGGACGCCTCAAATGGTCTAAGATTCAGTACTATTTTTGTCTTATGCAAACTATAGGACAAGCGTGACGCGTTCTGCCACGTTTTGGGGACTTGACAATATCATTGTACTTACACCGAAAGATATGACACAGTCCAAATATTTCTAATTAAGCATAACAATGGTATTTTGACGGAAAGTATTGATATGATGTTAAATGGTATCTTGTATCTTGTATTAACTGATGTTTTTGCTTTCAGTCCCGAGGCTATTAAAGGTTCATCTGACGCAGAACCGGTGGGCTAGCCAGAACCCACGGGTTTGGGCCCTCCGCTGTGGGTAGGGCCGCGCAAGTGCTCATGCGTGCGTTTAACTACGAAATTTCATCTAAGGGCCATCGAAGTTGCGGTGCGGACCGAGACCCCGATGGCCGTCGACTTGTTAAATGGTTCCGTAGTTATCACCTCAATCACCCGACGCAAAGGTGTAAATACTTCTTCACGACGGTCTGTTATGTGGCTCTGGTACTTCGCCGGATCTGATCAGTGGCTCACTAAAAATTCTGTAAGATGACAGATACGTCTTAATTGTTTTTTAAATATATAATAAAACCGGCCAATTGCAAGTCAGACTCGCTCACGCCGGGTTCCGTACTAAAATCTATAAAAACGCCAAAAAATCATGTCTGTTTTATGGGAGCCCCTCTTCAATATTTTTTATGGTATTAAGTATTTGTGAGCACACTCTAAATCGGCCCAACCACTACATCAGGTTTGATAGACCACAGATCCTTGCAAAAGAACACCGATTCCTCCCAAGGATGATTCGCGAGGCTATTGAAATTAAAAAACACCCTAATTTCAATAGAGAAGCGGGTTGGGTACTACCATCAGCTTGGGATCCTGTCATCAATAAAATTAAATCTAAGCCCAAACGAACCACTATTGCAAGGCAAGATACAATTAGCTCTCTCTGCTTAGATCGGACACAAAATTAATAATACAAAAACTGGCGGTAGCCCGGATTAACTATGACAATCAGACGTCTAACACCTCAGTCTGTCCCGTGACCATGAACGCTGTAAAGGGTTCGAAACGTCGGGAATTAAAATTAAAAATAAACGCGATAAATTCGTAAAATTAGTTTCATTTATAAGTATTTGTTGCTATAGCGGCAACAGAAATACATCATCATCATCTGTGAAAATTTCAACTGTCCAACTATCACAGTTCATGAGATACAGCCTGGTGACACACGGACAGACAGACAGACAGTCTTAGTAATAGGATCCCGTTTTACCCTTTCCGTACGGAACCCTGAAAATGGAAAACACTGATCGTATCTCGAAACAAATCGATTTAACTGTTTCCGGCACGATATTTTCAGTTTAGCAACAACTTTTATGTGCCGGTGTAACATCTGTAACGTAAAATTTTACTGTTATGTGCTTGTTTTAAGCAAACATTGCGTGGGGATTACTCAACGCGTTCCATGGCCTATGATACTACGTAACCGTTCACTCGTGGTGAATTATTGTTTTTTTTTTTTCATGAAAGATAATTTGTCTCCCCTATATATCTCCCATTGCAGACTAAAGACCTCCTCTATCTATTCAAATTCCACAAGATTAAAATATCACGGAAAAAAAGATTAATTATAGATGTTTCAGAGCTATGTTAGGAACGCAACGTAACGTTGATACCAAATTGCCTCAGAAGACTCCGTAATTTTTTTTTATCGATCAAATCCTAATTTCCTGTCAGTAACATCATCATTTATTAGTGTATCAAACTAAATACTCATATTATGTGTTGCATGATTTTAGTTTTGCCGCGAAAACAAATTGTCACGGCGGACAAATGTCAAACTCATATTCATATGAGTGAAAGTTTTCATTACCAAATCTCATACGGTACATCATCACTTTGGTACGTCTCATAAGGGTTTTTTTTAACTTATTTTAATAATAAATTGGCTTTATTCACACAGGCCTTAGCAAGATTTGACGCGGTTGGTGGAGCTGACAAGTGATTATTTTCTTACTTAAATTAACAACTTAGCTAAGTTATTGTGCGGAGGAAGCGTATTATAACGAACAAGTGATTATTTTCTTACTTAAATTAACAACTTAGCTAAGTTATTGTGCAGCGGAAGCGTTGTAATATCACGGTGTTCCGATGAAGAGACGCGTAGAGCGTACGAAATAACTTTCTCCGTGCGACCAATTGATTATTACATTTGTTTTAATGGACACCCGAGGCCGTTGCTGGTGAAACTTTTCGCGACGTTACGTGAACGTCTTTCTCTATCTATCGATTAATGGCTATTTTATATGAGACTAGCGACCCGCCCGGCTTCGCACGGGTGCATTGTATTATACACATAAACCTTCCTCTTGAATCACTCTATCTAGTTAAAAAAACCGCATCACGATCCGTTGCGTAGTTTTAAAGATATAAGCATACATAGGGACAGACGGACAACGGGACGACTTTGTTTTATACTATGTAGTGATGAACGTGGCAACCGAGCAGGCGGTTCTCCTAACTTTGAGTGGTAACCGCC